TCATATCTTGTAAGTGATTATTAATTTCCCTTTCGATATCCGGACACATTTTGATAGTTATTTCTTGGTCAATCAAAGGTCATAGCAAGTATAATTGAGTCTTATTTTGTTTTCCAAAATACATTTAATATGTTTAGAAGTAATGTAAAAGTTTGCAAGGTTTTGTTAATATCAGTATTTTGATCGTTCCCAAGTCTATTAGCGTTGTAACAATTTGAGGTAGTTGACTTTAAAGGTGCTCCACTGAGGTATGGTCGAATGTCACAAAAAAAGTAAATTTTCACGAACCAATAATTTTGTGTTACCTGCGTGTTAGGGACATTTAAACTGAATCAGTGATACATTGATATGTGCTCTTTGTTTTGGCAATTCGTTTGAAATATATATTTTTTTTAAATTTCGTGGGAAACAACGGTCACGTGACGAGTCTCGGGATGACTAAAGAGCGAAACGAAGTATTGTTTGTGTATCGGCAGCAACGAAGTGAGAAAGTGGAATATGCCAACATTGCATACATTTAAAAACAAATTATGGGTTTGTTTGTTAAATTTCTTGAACATTGTGCACATATGTTCTTGTGAAAATTAGTCAAAAGCAATAACATTTAAAGCATTATATTGTTGTAATCATGTATTTTTACTCCGTAAAATGATGAAGTTGGCTAAACGTACGGAGATGGAAACTGACATACACAATTTTACAAATATTGTATGTTTTGTTGAGTGCGACCGTGTAATTAATAAATATTATGTTTTAACTTTGTTATGGTTAAAATATCAATATATCTAGACTAAGAACATTTCTTTTATCAAGACAGTGTGATGGGTCCTATTTTATAGGTCACTTTGGTTTATCTGACACCCGTTATGAAAAAAAAACACCGTAATACCTTTTATACAACGAACAAGCATTAAAATTCACTCGCACACACTTACACATTACAAAGAAAACGTTTTTCTTTTCTCTTTAACTCGGATCAAAGCACTGAAAGCACTGGCTACATAGGGAATGAATCGGGCAACACAATAGGACATTTAGACAGACATCAACTTTATTATTAAATAATTTTTATATGTGTCTAGTCCACATACTTAATATTCTACAAGAATACAAGAAAAAAAAACGACGTCCTTTGCTAGATAGATCTGAATTTTTTTTTTTTTCATTTTTCATTTTATTGTTGATAAGAAGATTAATACGTTTTTGATCAGGACATTCAAAACTATAGGAAATTAATACCTGTTCCATGCAACTAGCACATGGTAAACATAAGCAAAACAGTCGGAAAAGAGTTACACCCTGGCTCTATTAATATTATTATTATCAGTATTGATTGATTGCTTTAGCAGATATCTTGATAAATTTTTGTATAAGTGATGGGTCAATTGATCTCTGCTTTAATGTTATCGATATATTAAAGCTTCACGATGGAAAAGAAATTGAAAGCGGGATAAGAGTAAACAAAAGAAGACAGGAATAAAAATCAACAAGACGACGACAAACGTTCACTGGACGCAGGCCACGACACACTCGAGCTACCAAAGCAAGGTTATTGTTATGACTATTGAAATAAACTTAAAACTGATCTTATTGTTGTTGTTGTTTAGACCCAAACTTTCTTTCAAATAAAACGAACAATTAAAATCATGATACTTGCAAGACAAACCTTAAGTGAAGGTCAGGTAAGTAAAAGTATCTTTAAGAATTCAGTAAGATATTAACCTCATTTAATACAACAACCATTGCTTAAACTGTGTTCTAAAACACTTCCAACTCCTAGGCTGTATAGAAACTTGGAAAGGGGCCGTGCATATCTTTACCTGAGTTTTTACTCCTAATAGCATGTTTTATCATGACATATTCATTGTTAATAGTTTTGTAAATATTTTGGTATGTTAAAAAAACTTCAAAGTTCTCGACTATCTTGTTAAGACACGAGTAACTGGTTTCAAAAAAAATGAAATGGGTAAATATTGATCTGGTGCATTTGATTGCATAAAAAGTTAGGAAGAGAACCCTACTTTTCCTGCTTTATATCACTGAAATCTTTACTTTTCCTGTCTGTTGTTAACCCTACTTTTATCTCTTCTTTCTCTCTTTCTGTTTTCTTTTTGTTTTGTCTTGTTATTTGCCATTTGAAAGCCTGAAAGTATTTTTTGCATTGATAACTTAGCTGTGGCCCTTTGTTGCTTGGTCATGTGAGTTTTTCGTTCGTTGAATGTTACCATTCCGTGTTGATCTTGTTTATCATATGTATGTTCTGGAGATAAGGATGGTGGTACTCGTAATACGAAGATGTATGATATAGTGTATTAAAAGCCTTTGTAAATTGTTTCGGAAATACTGGATATCGTTTTGAAAATTTATAGAGCTACTTTCCTTAGTATTTTAAACACATAAAAGAACAATTTCACAGCTACAGATATTACAATTAATTCGTAAGTATTTCGATTATAGTGATTATACTGTAACCAAGAGATATAGGTCCCCTAAGACATTTTCTTTGGAATTTAATACTAAGTGTTAGCACTTAAAAATAGAGAGGTACACCAGATTGCTTGCAAAATCTTTACCTGCAGGATAACTAGGTTTTTGTACATGTACTTGTATTTATACCTAAGAAGATAACAAGTAGTAGACATAATGTTCTTAATAATATTTGAATAGAGAAAAAATTTATAAAGCAAATTTATGAAAGAGAGAAATGCTACTTATTTTATTGTTTGTCCACAAAGGAGGGCTTATTTTACTCGTTTATGTTATTTTCAAAAGCAAAAGTCTAAAAAGGAAAGGTATACTGATATATATATTACATAACATACATAATGACAGATTTACACTTGAATATGATGTAATGTTCAGAAATGAGTGAGTTGAAACGTTTATATACGGTCCTATCAAAATAGCCTACGAAACATCACTCATTGCACTCAGATGCCCGTTTGTGAAAGAAACAATTTTGCAAAGTGGTGTACCTGAGTTCTTTCTCCACCAGTAAAGCTGAAAAGTCGCCATAATGACCTACATGTTTGTGTGCAATGTAAACCCAGCCACACCCGCAAAGCAGAAAATCAAATGAAATGAGACATGCTTTTAAATTCATCATTTCTTACAGGATGGAATGTCATTAACTGTATTCGATTTAAAAACGTAATGGAGAGAGTTAAATGCATTTATTAGTGTGATTACATTGTGTTCGTTATAGTTTAAATATCACCGATGCACTATGTTCGTCTTCATCAAACTCTTCAAAATGTCGAAATTGAAACTTTTCAATATCTTCAAAACAATATACATGTACATCTCTCCGTTTTGTCTAGAACATGTCCGTTTCGCTGGCGTTTAATTTTTCAAGACATTTTATACTATTTTTTTTTTCGTTATACTCAATCTATATAAGCACAAGAGGTTAGAGTGCTGAGAAAAATCCATAAGAATCCCCCCCCCGTTTACTCTGTTGCCCCAAAATGTCCATTGCGTATTTTAGTCATCTCCATTGCGTATTTTAGTCAAACACGATGAATTGTGGGTAACTTCTGTACATGTCTGGGTAATCAAACTATCATTTTTGAATCAAAAGCTAATGTGAACAATATATTTTCTAGCGTAATAGTTGTTAGAGGGTTGGTTAAAGTGTAAGCTATTGTTATTTTACTTATAATATTGTGATTTGCTGGGACATTGGTTAACTTTTGTTTTGACAAAACCTCAGTGGAAGTCATTTTATCACGATAACTTTATCAGCACATGGGACTGACGACAGTACACTTAGTTCAATGATAAGTAGGTTACATTGACGACATTTCTATCTGCTATCTTAATTTATGATTTTTTTTTTTCATTATGAGTATAAAGGTTAACAAGTTATATCATTTTTCCCAGTATCTTCAGTATTATCACGAACTGGCTGAATACAACATGATTGGCAATTGTCAACTATGCTATACTTTTTTGTTTGTTTGCTTACGTTTGCTTGTGTTTGTTTGTGTTTAGATTTAGGTTTACCAACTTTATGTCATTTTGCAGTAAAACATCAGCATTGCACGCCTTAACAATATATTAACATTAAAGCTGTAGGCCTCTATATGAGCAAAAAAATCAAGAAAGTAAAAATATTCACAATCATAATGATAATCACATGCTATATTCAATGAATTACAGGATTTGCACTATTCATCATCATATTAATACAGCATAGCTAACGCAGTAAGGGATATGTTTGCATATTTAGACACTCTATCGGTAATTATCATGGACTGAATATATTGCCGTTTGCAATATGTAAACTACTTTCTTGACAATATTTTAATACACTTTCCTTTTTTTAAAATTGAATTAGCACAGGGGCATGCTAAGGGCATATGTAAACTACTTTCTTGACAATATTTTAATACACTTTCCTTTTTTTAAAAAATTGAATTAACACAGGGGCATGCTAAGGGCATGCTGCTTAATTTAGAAGCAAGGGAGACAATTTCGAAAAGTAAGTTTCGATTTTCACACATTTTATCATTTTTTACCAAATATATACGAGCTGTTTATATAATCAGATATAACCATATATATAAAACAAAGAAATACCATGCAATTATTCTAAATGGATGTGTTCTGTTCAAAGAATATATGTGTTCATTCATTACGAAGAAAATCAAACAGATTTTGACCATTTGGCGTGAACCGAATTGCTGGGCAGTAACAGATGGAGCACGTGCGGCCAGTGCAGACCAAGATAAGTGTCGTCCGATCATGATCTGCAAAGTTCGCTATTTTGTCATGATGTATTTCATAATTTTCTCTATAGGCATGACTTGTTCAGTCGAAATTGAATGATTGATTAGTCCATATTAAAATCATTATATCGTTGCAATCATCCCTATAAAATATAATGTTGTCTGATATTGTCAAATACGTATCTTCTACCACCTTGTTGCTGATGGGTTGCCTTAAAGGGTTAGAATTGCGTTTCATTATACAGTATATGCATACATATGCATACATTTTTAACATATTTATTTATTTGTATTGCATTTTATTTTAGCATCTGTATTTAGATTACATTTTATTCTCAGACATGTCAAGCAAAAGTCAAGAAACAGTTTTCTGAATGTTGCTTTTTCTGTCAAATCCTCAGTAATCGTCTGTACACGATGTTCTGTTTCTGTTCTTTGAATTAGTAAAAACCTTTACAGACACTTTCCATTTTCATGAATAGGCCTCTCAAATTTACGGGAAAGTCCACGGGAAGCTGCAAAAATACACAATCAAATCTAATGTAATAGTTACTAACATATTTTGATGAAATATTAATATTCTTCTTCTTTAACCATTATAAAATATAGGCACTTCTGATATTTATTTCGGTAGTATTGTCTTTGCGATTAAGATACTCACCGCTTTATTTTAAGCGAATGCCTTGTTAGACCATTTAAAAATAAAGTCTGAATAAATAATGATGATAATTTTGTTCTTGTGAATTGATATATTTTAATCTTACCCCTACTGTCGTGTGCATCATTATCCACTGACAGTACTCTTTCAGCTTTATAACAGCCTCTCCCATTTTATCTTTATTTTTACCACCCTTACCTCCCTTTTTTCCACCTTCTCCTTCTTTGCCACCTCCCTTCTTGTTCTCCTAAATAATAGAATAAGATATAACTAAACTGCAGAGGCAAAAAAAATCCGTCTTAAGTTCAGATTTTTTTAGGTTAACATGAATTCTAGTGTTAAAGGGATGGATACTCAGGCAAATTAATGACAAAAATATCAAAATTATCTTATGTCCTCAAATCACCCTTAAATGACATTTGTTAAAGTGTTAGCATAAATTTATGTATAAATTCTATATATTTTGGTTTCAAGCGTAAATATATCTATATATGTTGATTGAAATTTAGATGCCGACAGAATCACCGAGTATTTTTAAAACAAGTCAAGTGACTTGAACATGCCATGGAAGTTACAATAATAGATATTGTGGATATTGTATTATTGAAACAAACCTATATCATTCATTTTTTTGACATGTTCTTAAACGTTTCCAGAATTCACTGTGACAACTATTGTGAAATATTAACGCTCTAACCTGACCCACGTGGGTCAAGTTAGGAAACCACCATTTTATTTTTATAAGAAGAAAAGGTTTTGTTCCTGTGACTGCCTAGTGTATTCATTTTGAGGACATTTACAGAATAATGTATGAAAAACGAAAAAATGAAAACTTTGCCTGTGTCTCCCTTTAATAGGAAGCAGATTTTAATTTTATTGAGACCAAAATATAAAACATCAAAGAGCATGCTTTTTTGAAAACTAAAATAGCCATTGTATGAGAATTTACATTAATTATGCATATCTTCATGCTAAAATTATATTTCATCCAATGCAATGTAATGACAGCTACAGACGCGCTTCGTCGGACCAACAAATACAATATAATAAATAAAATAAAAAACAAAATTAACAGTCATACTACTTAAAGCTATTGTATCCGTACGATCATCAATTATACATTTGACATGCTAGAGTCTGCCATTTGAGGGAGCAAAATAGGTGGAATGAAACATCAAGTTAATATAACATTCATTTATTTAGGCTTCTTGTATAATCCTACAAATATAAACTGACAACGATTCTGATTCTAATTTAGATAAGGTATGAGGAATTTTCGGATTATCGAAGTGTATATACTATTACGTTTGTCAGCAACCATTCTTTCTAAACATTTAGTCCTATATTAAAAAAAAATGATATGATATCTTGATCATGTCAAAGAATAGTTTTACCTGTTTAGCTGTTTGTTTTACAGCGTCTTTCTTGTTCTCTTCTTCTAGAATATCTTCACATACTGGCTCTAGCATTTTAAACGGCTTTTTGTACTTTTTGTTCTTGTTTTCCTTTATATCACCAGAGTCAAGGCCGTTGCACAGTACAGAAAGGCCATTGTCGGGCCCATCGCCGAGTACCATGCTACAAATGCCTTTAAAAATCTCAGACAAAATCCTCCATCTCTCAGATGTAAAGTTTTGAGGCTGAAAAAAGATAGACTTCTTTAAGGTACATTTTAGTATTGCTACTTATTGAAATATTAATATCTCTGATTTTGATATTATTAACAGCTTAATTTTCAAATGTGAACTTATTAATTTAATATATAATAAATACAAAGAGTAAATTACGCTAAAAGTAAAATGACTGAATATTCATATTATTAATTGTACATTTGATTAAGGAGAATCAATAATTGGCTTGAAATATTAACGATTGACGTGTAAGACGTAAGCTGTTTACTCCAATTTTGACCTGACCTGGTCTGCTCAATGAAATGCCGGTCCTAAAACTTATTTTAAAAGCACTACAGACAACCACATACTGCTTAAAGGATCATTATGCCTTAGAAATGCTTTTCAATCATAACTATTATATTACTTTATATTTTCCAAAAAAATACTTAGTGACCAAGTACTTGAACATCCTTTTTCTTTTGTTGCTTTTTGGCAATTAGTACAGTTATTGAGGTTAAGTGTGTTGTATGGAAGTCAAAATACTACTTTGCTTACATTTCGCTATTTTATTAATTTATCATTTATTTCTTCAGGTAACAAGCATCTTACTTTAAAACCATCATTTAAACGTTGTTAAATTCAAGTCAGCCCTTTCTAAAAAATATATAACATTATTTATTTCTTAGGCATATTGTGCTTTAAATCGAAAGACGTTTGCAGGTAGTATTTTATATTGAGTTAAGTCAAAATACTACTAGTACTTTGTTAACATTTTGATATTTTTATGAAAAATAACCTCGCATTCAGTTCTTCTTTATCAAGGTATTAAGTATCTAACATGCTTTTCAACCATTGTATATATGTAATGTTATAAAGTTTATAATTTCCCTTTTTAATGACTGCCGTTTTTTGTTTCTGAGGCATAATGTGCCTTTAGATGCACGTAAAAACAATTTCCTCTTCAATTTTTAAAACAAAAATAAAATACGTCCATATATGTTTTACTAATGTCTTTATCAGGTTTCAAATGTGTAACGTGTAAGCTTATTATCAAATGTGTTTGTGTGCATGTGCGTGTGCGTGCGGATAGGGTGTTGTTTACCATGGACACAGGAATAATTGCTATATAAAACAAAAAAGACGTCAAGGCCTTTACTCATAAATAGCAAACTGTATCCATTGGAATGGCACAAGTTAACTAAGGCGCCATTTTGAGAAACAGCAAATACTAAAGGTTATTTGTAATTAATTAAAGTACGAAATGAAGTTAAAAACTGGCTTTATTTGCAATTAAACTTAAAGCTAGACATTACTCAAAACCTTTCCCCCGGAGTATTGAAATAGTATGATAATACTGAAATCAGAAAAATGTTACATGAATTTTTTTTTAAATGCATTTTAAAAAAAGATATTCGGGTATTTTTTATTTTTTTGTTTCAGAGTTGAATACAGTAAATGCTCTACTGCAACTTAAATTGGGCATATAACATACTTGTCTGCTTTGCAACTTAATAACAGGATTTGGGGACAGATCATAACTTAGCCGCAACATTCCGACTCCGCAACCTGCCTTTCTTGCTGTCCCTTTTTCTTTTTAGTCTATGGGGGGCATTATCTGAAAGAAAACAAAAAATTGTATCATCAGTCTTTGAGGAGATGTTATAAATGTTTAAAGCTCTGCAAAGAAATATATTGACGGATAACCGCCTCCGTGGTCGTGGGGTTAGTGTCGATGATTTCTAATCCAGTTACCTCTCTGGCGTGGGTTCTATCCCCGGGAGATGCTTTGGTAGTATAGCGTGGAGGAAGGTAGTCTGGTAATGGTGTAACTCTCCAGGAGCGATGGTTAGAAAACTACCCGCCTATATGACTGAAATACTGTTGGAGAAAGGCGGAAAATGAAACAAACAAACAAACAAAAATATTGACGGATAACAGGCTAAACAGCATTGCAAAATTGTAAAACAAAAATGACAACTTAATAATTATCATCAATATGATCAATATATGCTTACTTCAGCATCACTCTCTATACCATCTTCTTCTGTTGTCACGTTATAACTTTCACATACAGGTTCAATCCAGTCAAACCAAAGTTGGTATTTTGGGTTCGTGTTTTTAATTTTACCATCATCAAAAGTTTTGCATAGTTTGATGAACCCAACTTCAAATCCACCTGTTTTGATCTCATATGCCTCTTGGCATATTGGGTAAGTATCATTTACATATATGTCTTTAAGCTCATTCGGAGTGTCATCTGGAAACTAGAATTGAATAAGCAATACAATTAAACTATTTAAAAAGAAACAATACAAACTAAACAGTAAAGTATGCTTATTTAAAAAAAACACGGAATGCAGTGGAGGAAACAAAATTCTGGACTGTGAACATCGTTTTATTGAATGAAGAATTTCTACATTGATTTCATTAAGCTAGTCAAAACAAAGAAACAAAACTTTAATTTATAATAAACAGTTTGTTTCGCATAAAAAAAAGGAAATTAGAACAACTAGCTAGCGTGATGTCTATAATCCTTGTTATAAGTAACTATGTAGATATTGATACTTACGGATTCAAGATAATTTTGAACTCCAATGGAGATACAAATTGCCATTAATCTCTCCACTGCCTTGTTTTCTTTATTTTTCTTCCCGCCTTTTCCTTTCCCTCCCTTTTTGCCTCCCTTTTTACCGCTTTTATTACTTTCTTTCTGTAAAAAATCAGTAAAATGAAGACTGTTTATCATATCACATAATGGTGAAACAGAACTATTTTAAATAATTTTATCTTTAACTCGTATACATATACTGATATCTAATATATTAAATCACTGATTTCTTTTCATCGTGTTATACTATTACAGCTAGCAACTAATACACCTGATAAAGTACTTTGCAAAGTGAATGCTAGAATTCTTATTTTTCTCAAACCTGCCAAGAACTGGTCGGCAAAATGAAGTTTGTTTAATGATAATAATTATGATACACGAGTTTGAATTTCATGCAGACATAAACGAGATATTGTGACCTAGTGCGGAAAAATGTAAGAAAACGTCAAGATCAACTTTTGACAAAAATGTATATTAAAGGATATAGATTAAAGGAGAAACTTTTGTATTGGTAATATCAAATTAAAACAAGCGGTGCAACGTGCTCCCTTTTCGTATTTTCCATTTAAAGATAAGTCAATTCTGTCACGAATATATGAGCCGCGCCATGACAAATCAAGATAGTGCATTAGCGACCAGCATGGATCCAGACCAGTCTGTTCGATCAGGATCAATACTGTTCGTTTACAAAAGCATTTTACAAGTAGAGAAGCTGATAGCAAACAGCATGGTATTCTGATCATACCGCGCGGATGCGCAGGCTGGTCTTGATCCATGCTGGTCGCAAACGCACTATGTTGGTTTTGTCATGGCGCGGCTCATATAATGAATATTATGTAATTCATAGTGCTTGTACCGAGATACGACAAAAGCTAAAAGTACAAATACCGCAAGTGTTTCGATGGCCTGTGCTTCCTCTGAGTACGCTAATATGTCGGTACATGTCGTGTTAAATTGTGTAAACACATCATCATATTCTGCTTCAGTGTTTTCTATTTCTCCATCTTGAAGACCTTCACAGAGTTCAATATACTGCTCAAGGAGGCTCTTGTCGTTCTTCTTTCCCTTTTTCTGTTATTTTAGAACAATTTACGATATATATGAACAAAAATACATATATTATACACATATAATGGCTATGCATCAATACGATCAAGTTAGCAATAATCCAATTATCATTTTAAATCATTATTTTGTCAGCGTTGCTTAAACCCCTAAGCAACGTGTCATCGATAAGGATTTTTGTATCGATATATCGGTAATGAATTATCGGCGATACAGCGTTATATCGATTGCCAGGCTTAATTTTAGCTTTCAAGTCTTTTTTAATGTTTCCTAAGGACAATGACAAAGCAGTTATATTAAGACAAATGCAAAAAAGATAAACTATGAAAACTGAACAATTTGTTGTTTTTTTATCATATAGCTATAAATGAAAACTAATGACTAGTAACTATAAAGTTTAAAGTCTTTTCCATTTTACTTTAGTTGTTGTTGTTGCTATAACGTAGTTACCGATCATGCTAAATCCCGTCCTTGCCGTTCCAATTAAACCGTTTTTAATTGGCAAATTATAGTGTTTAGAACCTGAATAATTATTAAAGTTTAACATTTTGTAATCATAATTTTTACAAAGAAACACTGACAATTTTTTCTTTGCATTTTCCCTTTTTAAAATCTGAATTGAGGGGTCTTGACATCCACTTAGCAGACGTGCGAGATTACAACGAAATTCGGCAGCATTCGTTTGAGAAACTGGGAGGTAACTTTGGCATTGATTTCCATTTTTGTTTTAGAAAAAAAATGTGTCTGGCTTCCATAACTTTATATGTCGCTTTTATTTTGACGTTTTGCGACAGTAAACAGGTCTATCAGTTCTATAAAACCTGTTCACTGAAGTCTGTTTAGCTAGAAATATATGTGCATTCGATATCCGATTTTTAAAAAATGGAATCGATATCGAATCGGATAACAAAGATCGTTGATACACAGATATCGATTGAATCGATGACACCCCTACAAAAATGACAATAATTTGCCTAATTGTTTTGACGATTTATTATGTGCATTACGAACTAACCGATATCTGTCTTCATCAATTGTAACCAAGTTAAAATATAAAAGCCAAATTTTCCAAATGAATAGTCTGATTACAAGAGTATTTAATTTAGATAAGCGGGCATGTTTACAAATTTTTACATTTTTCGACATTTTTGTGAGAGATTTCAACAAAACTTTTTCGTGTTCTGGCGCATATTGTCGGAAATTTGTAATTTGTTATTTTGCGCATAAAAAATGTTTGTTGTCTTTTCAAAACAAGTAATGCTTGCAGAGGAAAATGTTTTTGTGGCAGTCCTTCGAAAATTATATAGATTTTCCTTGAACAAATGGAAATTTTTTTCAATAATACAATGGTAGGATACTACGTCATCGCGCACTGCAAAATGCTTCCAATTGGATAGGTTTTTTTGTAGTTTAGTCCTGAAAACGGGATAGATTTTTTTCTTAAATGCTCCCATTTTGGACTCCCAATCGAAATTTATCCCGTTTTAGGCATAAACCAGACAGTTAAACTTTAAGCGTTTTTTATTATTATTATAATTATTATTATTATTATTATTATTATTATTATTATTATTATTATTATTATTATTATATCAAGTTCTAAAGCCAATCATTGATGCGCTTCATTATATTTTAATTTTCAAACGATTTCTTAAAATAAAAAGTATTCTTCGAGTCGACACAAAGAAAGTCCGATTGAGAGTTTTATTGTAGTATCCTACCATTGTAAAACATTCAAAATAAAGTTAAGACAAAAGAAGGGTGAACGTGTTAAGATAATTTATTACAATACCAGATCAATTCAAACTATGACAATATTTAAGTAGCGTGCTGTTTGAAACTTATAAGTACTCTTTTTATAAACATGTTTTTATGTTTTAATACAAACAATTTAAAATGACGCTGTCACGTGAATAGCTTATTTTAAGACTAGTTTATATGTAATTTGAGGCAAAGTAAAAACATAAAATGATAATACTTACATTTGGCTTTGCTGAAACAAGTATCACTAAACTTAGAGCAACTACCACAACTAGTTTAATATTCATCTGAAAAAAAATCAAGTGAATATGAAAATGAAGTGTTAGTTTAAAAGTATGATCTCCTGTTATTTTGTATTATAAATTAAACCCAAAATTTATTAGACGGACTAAACCTTTATAAACTCTTGATTAAAAGGCTAACTCACAAAAAATAATAAAATCAATACAATACATGTAAGGGATATTGAATGGGTGTAGGTTCAATACAGTATTTTTAGGTTTTAAAACGCCTATTCCAGTACTCAAGTAGTCGGTTATTCTTCCGATCCAGTAGTCAGTTACTCCAAAGATTTCTCAGGACTTTAAAGATGCATACCAATTTTAGTCACGGGACTGAAGGCGGAAACTAATTTATTAGAATTACACCGTTAACGATGGATTTTCGTTTCATGTTTTGATACACAGAATTGATAAGCACAAGAAACGCGGGGAATGTATCTTGAAAATATCACATATATATTAATTATTAAGGGGTCTAAGTAATCTATTACATCTTACATATTTAAAAGTAATTAGCCCTTCAAAACTGTTTAGAATTAAATCTGAATAAATCTCGGCCCGTTTTAGAAGCACCTCGGAATAATTTCGGCAACACATTTGTAATGTTGAAGATAAATATAAGCCACGACATTGTTAACGTTATTATTTATTGCATACAACTATTAATTGCCTTGTTATAACGCTAACCAGAGTTGTCAATTAACAACACAATTTTCGCATATTTGGAAGGATATCTTTTATTAAATTTAAGTTTACAGTGGACATTTATTTAAGAAATTTTATTATTTATTTCACAATATTAATGTTTCTGATTAAAAAAATGAAGAGAATTTCTACCCAATACTTGAGTAACAATTGAACGTCCAATCGAGTTTACGATCACCCTTAGGCGATCCTTAGGTGTAGAATCACCCTAAGAATATGTGGCCTGCTTTTTTAATTTGTCTTTTAACGTCTTATATGTGATATGCAGGCTTCATAACCTCTGATCCCCTTCCAAAATTCCATTTTATTTAGTTTCGCTCATTGTTTTCTCGTGTAGGGCACACACATTATTTTACTTGGGGACCATATGCAGCTTTTCATGGAATGACACTTGCGTGTCCCATTGAAGGTTCTATGATAACCGCCATATGAACACATCTGCGGATGTTTTTAAATTCAAAATTGTACCAGTTCATGTTAAATGAAGAATTCTGCTTAAGCTGGTGCTAGAGGGGTGTACGGTAGCTTGCAGTTGACAGTACCGTCCATGAAAAGGCTCAATCAAACCGAGCCTGCACAATTTTCAATTTTGCCGTGTTGGGCTATCCTTAGGGATTCTTATTTTCTCTATTTTATCGCCACATCAGCGTTGGTTTGGTATTGTGGAGGCTTTAAAAAGTCGCCCCGTACATTCAATCTGAGAAGTTATATTTCCGATCCTTATAGATAGTTCAGCACATCATTATTGTTCTGCTTGTGATAACTTAGTTCTTTCTATTCGGCTATTTTCTTGTTTGGTGGTTCCAGTATTCCTACCTTGAATACTGTTGAATCACACTTAGAATATGTCGCGTGCTTTTTAAATTTGTCTTTTGACGTTTTATATATGATATGCAGGCTTCATAATCTCTGATCCCCTTTCAAAATTCCATTTAATTTAGTTTCGCCAATTGTTTTCTCGTTTAGGGCATACTCATTTTTTTACTTCGGGACCATATGCCGCTTTTCATGGAATGACACTTGCGTGTCACATTGAAGGTTACATGATTTTTCACCTGTTATATAATACTAATTATATTGATGGTAGACTCTGACGTGCATAGCATTATTTTATTTAACGAGTTGAATTACATACAAATATAACATTCAGACTGTTACATTCTATTTATCACATATCCAGATAAAATATATTTACAGTGAACAAAAATTGTTTTGTTTTTATAACGCAAATAACGCCACGTCAAAATATATACACGACCGTATATTACCATTTTTACTCAAAAGCGGCACGACTATGTGATGAAATACATTTTAATGCATGTATTGTTTAATCAATATTATAACTACTTACATTAATATTAAGCATTAGTACACAAACCGTTTAAATTTAGAATTCACATTTTTAATATCTTTATCTGTTTTCTAAAATGTTTAATATTCTGTGTATAAGTCTTATTGTGGTGCCAATGTTTTAAGTGTTGTTTATCCCTTCCCCAAAATAATCGTATACAATTAAAGTTGCATATTATCTTAAAACAAAACTGATAAATATGTTACCTTTTCACTTTTGTCAAAACCTTGAAAAGCAGAAAAATTATAAAAACAAAAATAAATGTCCATTTATTTACCTGAAATAAATTTAAATTTCTTTAAATAAGCGAATGATTTAAAAGTATCACATTACCTTTATTTCCGTCCAGTTAACTGTATTTGCTGTGAAGTTATGGTGTTTTATGATGGTTTCTCCTAAACCGACTGACTTTTCAATTTATTAATCTATTTTGTGTGTAACCTGTTGACAACAATTTTTAATTATACAAAGCCTGCGAGCAATCTTATTTTTCAATATGTGACGTAAAACAGGAGTGGGCCTAAAGGAGTGGCATATTTTGTCAGTCAGTGTGTCCGTGGCTATTTTGAAATTATAATAAATTTTAATGTGGCTATGTGAACTATAGTCTGCACAAAATTTTCTTTGGTTCTATTTCATTCCGTAAAGGTTTTGTCTGGCTAAAATGTTTAGTTGGGCTAAAAAGAACAATGGAAAAAAAGCCATCTCTCAGACACAAATACTGGAATGCCCATTACATGTTTGTGTTCGTTACATAACTTTGTACATGTGACTGCTGAAAAGTTAGGGCTTTTTTTAAATACAAACTGTATACATTATGAGACAATGTGCTGAGCGTAAGAAAGGGGTCATTTATTTTAAGTTTAGGGTCACATTTTAAAGTTGAATGTAAATGTCAACTTCATAACTATTTTATTTGTTTTACGGCGCATCAACGCAGTTTAGATCGCATTGTGTCGAATCAGTAAAAATAAAGTTGGCTTACTTCGGGTGTTAAATGTGCAAACTTAAAGCAATACCAGGGGTCAAAACCACCTCATTTTCTTGCCCCGTGTTTACTGAGAAAAGATCATGATTAAATGATCCTGAATTTATTTTCTCTGTTACACTGTTAATAAAATAAATATCGGGTCAATTTTAGGATCAAGACCAATTTGGATCAACTGTTATCTTGCACAAATTTCAATAAATTTATTTAAAAAAAAAAAAAGTCTTTAGATACGTTAAATAGATATTTTTCTGATAGAAATTATCCTAAATCTATTATTTAGAAAGCGTTTTCTAAAATTGAAGGCATGTCCCAAAATGATGCTCTAAGTCCTGTCGTTTAAAATACTAGTTCAATAATACCTTTTACTGTATGTTTTAATACATCTCTGCCTAATATTGGTGAAATCTTACATAAATATTGGGATCTATTACTTTTGTCTGATAAGGTAAGCATTAAAAATATACATACCGAGTTCAAACCTATTTTAGCATATAGACGTCCTAAAAACATTCGAGATTATCTTATGAGAAGTGCTTTACTTGATCGCACATTTTTATCTAGCCAATGTTTACGAAGTAGATGTTCACATTGTAACAATATAATTGTTGGTTCCCAATTTAATAGCAGCATAACAGGTAGTTCTTTTGATTTACACAATGATGTTAATTGTACTACGCGTAATGTTAATTTACCTCATTACATGTAAAGGCTGTAAAAAGCAATACGTAGGTCAGACTAATCAAAATGTATCATGCAGAATGAATAAACATAGATTTGATATAAGAAATTGTGACGTTAATCCAGTTTCACATGTTGCGATCCATTTCGGATCAAACGATAATAAGTGTTCATTGTCAGATTTTTTCATTTTTACCTATAGAAATTATAGACAACAACATGGACCGGTTATGTAAAAGAATCTTTTTGGATCCATAAATTAAATACTATGATTCCAAATGGACTAAATAATAAAGTATTGTTTGATTTATAATAGGTTACATGAATATTAATATGTTTGTCTATTATCTTATTTTTATTAACACTGTCTAATAGACATCTGTATCACTGTTGATCCATTTTAATTCATGTACCAGCTTTATTTATAGCATAAATATTTGTTTCTACATGTTATCATAGTTTTGCCGCTAAACGCCATAACGTTTTTCGCGCGTTTAACACGTGTTCCGTTATGACGTCGCTTCCGGTAATTTTATTATGTTTTGCACTGATGAAGGCATATAGCCGAAACGTTTGCAATTAAATTAAATTACTAAATGTTCGTGTTTGTGTGGCTTGTCTGATTAATAAATTTATTTCAAACTTGTATAAACATGCTACTTCAAGTTCAGTTTTATCAATTACATATTTAATTGTTCTTTCCACCATGACACTCTGTGCAAAGTTCAAATATACGTCGACTGCTAAACAATATGTAAAACACTGTGGTACAAATTACATGTATAACCATTATCAGACAATGTGCAGAGAGCAACATAGTGATCGCAACCCGGAGGTTCACGGTAACAGTCAAATGTTTAAAACGGTATTTATTAAGCAAGTCTTCTGCATCATCGGAATATCAAAATAAAACCGGTTATGTCCTTGTCAATTTGTCATCAATAAAGATCCAGATTAATGTTTGCTTGTTTTTTTTTTTGTTTTTTTTTTGTTTTTTTTTGTGCGTGTGTTGTTGTTCATACCTAACCGACTTTCCTTGATATTTAACCAGTTATGACAAATTTCTTTGCATGTGACCGACTTCTCATACCACATGATATCTAAATTATTGGTGAAAGGCAAATGACTATTAATAATAGATTCAATATTATTTTCGTGGAGATATTACGTCTTACCAGAGGACCGAACTAGCAAACGTTGAATAACTAATGTAATGATATCCCTATTTAGCCAAGTGGTAAGATAATATCACCTGATCATACCTGCAAAGACTGAAATAACCAAGTTCATACACAGGTTGCAGTTAAGATCAAAGAGGATGCTTCCCAAATCAAACTTATCAAGAGGAGACAAACTGATAATTAAATAATTGGCGGGAAAATTGGCTAGTACTGAGACTGAAATAACGTGTCATATAGATCTATCTATGATCTCCCAAGAAGCACATGTATGAAATTATTCGATTTTTGAATGAGAATTGAAAATAATCTTAATACGGTTCATATAGTGGTTAATGGTTCATAGAGTGGTAAATAACACGTTTCTCTGGCGGTGTATGATTACATATTGTTTTAGTTCAAGAAGGTTCTTATCAATTTGACAATCAAATTATAGTATTTTATTACGTGCTACTCATTTGTGGACATTAAACAAATGCCTTATATAATTAAACAAGGGTTCATGTAGATCAGGTTTTTTGTGACGTGACACGCAGTATACACGTGTTTATTTCACTATTTCGTACAATAACTGGTTTGAACCTAAAAGGAATGCTTCTGAAAATTATTTAGATTAAATAATTGATATCACAGTCACGTTTGTTTATTAAAAGGGTTTTTTATGAGATAGTTTATGACTTTGTTCATGCAATAACAATTTAATGTTCGGGCGGAAATATTTTCTTCACTATCTTCTGGTCAATCAACGGTCAGCACAAAGAAATTATTTGGTATTTTGTTACAAAGTAAACCAGAGGCCAGTTTTTTTTCTTGTGTTTTTTTATGGAGTAAAACGCGAAAGTTAAATTTAGTATTCTTTTTATTTTTTAGTCTTAATTCATACATGCAGTTAACATTTATAAGACCAACTAATCCAGGCGAACTATGTGCAGAACATATGTGCTTCAAATGTAGATAAGTTGATCTTTGACAATAACTGTTACTCAAGATTAATTGTAATTGTTAGTGGTAATTTGTTTAACCACTTTTAATAATATTAATATTCTAAATCTAATACTTCTTTTTCTTCAATGTAACGTACGTTATTCGTAACGCTATTAAAAACTGGAAAAAAGTCTTGATAGTCAATTTAACGGCTAAGTATTGAAATAATTTTAAAGCTGTGCCAAGATATTATCTATTAATAATGTGATGAACAGAACATAGCAGAATATACATGTATATGGTCGATGATATAAAACAAATTTGATTTGTTCTATGAAAATTTATGTAGCAAATAGTTTTAAACAATTAGTAAAATAAGTAGTTTTGACTTTTATTTATAAATTGATAGGAATACAATGATCAAATGCAGTAACATACCAATTTGTGCGGAAATACACAAGAAATTTCCATTTAAAGATCTTTATACGTAATACTGTTCTATTTTATTACAGTGCGTGTAATAAATGTTCATAAAAGAACTACAAAATTAATTTATTTTCGTAGATACCATGTATCTGTAATCTTTAATCTGTTTCTAGTTTTAGGTCTTTTACATTCTGAAATACAATGTATCAAAAAATATGTCCAAGTTACATATAAATCGTTTAAGATATACTCTTGTAATATTGAAATTTGAGAACATTTATAATTGTTACAAGTCTCTTTGTAGAAATAAGAAAAAACATGTTTTGACTTCACATAAGTTAAGGTGGCTGATTTTATCACTTTTGCGCGTCGTGTTGTCGCTGACGACATTACGACAAAGCGCTTAATGGCGCGTTATCGCTTATCGTTATGGCGCTAGCGAAACATGTCATCTCGCGGCGTGTTGTCGAGATGCCACATTGTCGATTGTCAATGAGTTTATTGGCCCTTTGATGCTCGCAACAACGAGCCATGCGACGATAGGGAGACAACGGTATGATATAGGACAAGGGACATGGCGACATGGCATATTAATAGCACATTGTACCTTAAACGAGAAGAACAAGGACCGGTCATTTAAATTTTATCAAACACAAAGTCAAGCCTTTAAACGTTTGCATATTGTTACATTTTTTTTTCTAATAGCTGTTGATGTTTATCAGTTCAGTTTATAAGTTCAATTAGTGTTCAATAATTTGTTTTAATATTCACAAAAAAATGCCTTGAGCAAAGACTGTGAAATAAATTTCATACAAATCACGCATGAATCAAATGACATATAATTATTATTTAAAGGCATTTGGGCCTCAAATATAAATGTGATTTTTCTTGTTACGATTGAGGGCATTCCTACCTTCATAACCATGGGAACAACCTCTTAAAACAGCGATAGGGGCTCAATGGTCTATTGTGTTGATGTTTGAAAGCAGGAGGTTACGAGTTTGAATACCAACCACGGCAGGATGTTTTCTAATATATTATCAAATTATTTCTATAGGAATGCCACAATGGTTTTTATAATGATATGAATCATATGATGTTGTATTTTATATGTATTGAGATGCTTATTATTTGAATAATATTACAGCGCTGAATTTGAAGTAATTTGTAATAAAGGTTACAAACAAAGCGATAGTTTAACTTTCACTCAAAATATTATATCACTTTAACTGTACTTATTGCTAAAATTCCTACATTTACACAT